ACCACTTGACCCAACCTGTCCGTATGATCAACTTCGTTACGGTGGAGCCGATTGTGGACAAGCAGCAAACAACTGTTTTGTCGGCAGTTCAAAGAATGATGGTGCGCTTGCAGAGACATGGGTATCCGGTGTTGAGAATCCACTCAGATCGAGCGGGGGAGTTTGTCAATGCACGCTTCCGGTCCTTTTGTGAAACTCGTCTGATATATAGGACCGCTGGTGATCCTGGAGTCCCGCAAACAAATGGGCGCGCTGAAGCATGTGTGGGTTTATTCAAACGTGGTGTGAGGTCGCTCTTAAAGGAGGCGCGACTCGGGCCGGCGTACTGGGCACTGGCTGCTCGCCATTGGTCAATGTTACGGTGGCATAAAGCTGAAAGGGAGTTGGGGTTAAACCCGAAAGCATTGCTTCCCTTTGGTGCTCAGATTCAAGTCAAACGTCGTCCGTGGGAGTTGCTGGGTCCGGATGGAACAAAGAAAGGTCGGCAATGGGTCGATCGTACGCAGCCCGCGCTTCTGTTGGGTCCATGTGATGACCTACCGGGTGGTTATTGGGTGGAAGCTCAAGGGACTGCAAAAGATCCGGATGAACTGGTGTTATTTCCCTGCACTACGATTTTTTCCAATATAAAGGAACCGCCTGAATTGGAGCTGGAAGGGGTGGTAGAAGAACAGGAGTCGGAGCCTTCTCCTCCAGAGCATCGTCTCAAGGGGAAAAAACCGGCGCTTCGGTTCGCTGATGAGGAAGGTCCTCCTTTACCTCCGCCTCGCGATCCTCCAGTTCGCCGTCGGTTGGTGGCAAAAAGCCCGGCCTCTTCACTGCGTGGTCATGTGGGCTCCTTGCGCTTGCTTCGCAAGCGGGGGGAGAGTCCGCCCTTAGAAATTTTCGAGGATGACATGCAGGGTCTGGGGGAGCTGGAAGAAAATGCAGATGTTGAGGACAATGTTCCTGGTGATGAGTATTGGCCAACATGCTGTTCTCCTCATGAAGATGCTTATTTGGTCTGCAAAAGTGAGACTGCCGAGGATGGAGCACAGTTGGAAAAAGAAGAACAAAAAGCCAAGTCAATGTATGAAAGGTCTATGTACGATTACGTGGACTGTGAGGAGCTTTTGGAAGGGATTGTATACCCAAAGAGGGTGAATCGAAGAGGTGGTATCAACAATTGGTGCACAAGTACGCGAGCTCTGGTGTTGGGCCACTATACTCATGGCGGAGTGTGTGGTATTACAAAAGAGACTCATCGAAGACCATGGCTATGTCGTTACCTGGCATCATTTGTGAGGCACCACAATCCTGAGGCCAAATTCTCGGCTCTTCAGATCTCATGCAATGCTCCGGTATCATTGCATAGGGATAGTCACAATGAAAAGCATTGCTGCAATTATGTGTGTGGCTTTGGTGACTATAAGGATGGTCAGCTGTGGGTTGAGGATGAAAAGGCTTTAGAGGAAGGAGCTGAAGTGGTGGAGCAATACTATGGGAAGAAAGTCTTGCCTGGAAAATTAGTTGATATCCACTGGAACTTCATGTCGTTCTTTCCGAGAAAATTGCATGGTCCTATGCCTTGGAAAGGGAACAGGGTATCCTTGACAGGGTACACACCTGTTTTTATGGAGCGTTTGAGCTACAAGGATAGGTGCTATCTTCTCCAATGTAAGTTTCCTCTTCCGGAACCGCAAGCTGAAGAAGGTGGAAAAAGGAAATGGTTAAAAATGACGTTGAAAGAGACCTCGCTGGACGACATTGCGGAGGAAGGTGACTATGCTGTGTTCGAAGCGCACCAATGGGCCCTAGAAGAGCATTTGAGTATTCGACGCCTAATTGCTGAACAGGAATGTTGCGCTTTGGACGAGTTCCATGGATCGGCCAATGAGTCGAATGGAGAAAAAGGATCAGAGACTAGAGAATGGCTGGTTAAAGCAAAAAAGACCGAAGAACAGCTCTCGAGGTTTTTGGTCAAAGCAGCTCAAGTTCAGCAAGTGGTACAAGAAAATACCGCGCTTGAGGCAGCAGAGGAGGTCGAGTTCCTGCAAACAAAAACAATCCCTACACAAGAAGCCATGCAAGAGCTGGAGAAGTGGAGGGAATCATTGTCGGACGAGGTGAAGTCTTTGGTTAAAGAGTTGGAGGTGGTGGAACCAACAACTCAAGAAAAGCTGGACAAATTGGCGGAAGAGCCTGATGCACCGGTGATTGAGTACGTGCCCAGTCTGGTGGTGTTTACCCGGAAGCAAGGGACAGGGAGGCGACGTGCCCGTATCTGTGCATGTGGCAATTTTATTTCGTCAACGGCAGCTACAGAGTACGAAGGGCCGAGGTCCCTCAGTCGTCACTCGCTGTACGCTCCTGGTTTAGATTCAACTACATTCAGGTGTCAAGTGAGGCACGCGGCATATATGGTGTGCATCATCGCTGGCTTAGACATTTCCAAAGCTTTTCTGACGGCGCCGATGAATAGGGCGCAAAGAGAAGGGCGTCTGGTGGTGGTGCAGCCCCCAAGGGCGGCAGTGAAATTGGGTCTTTGCACAAAGGAGGAGCGGTGGATTGTGAGGAAGGCCTTGTACGGTTTGGCCGAAAGTCCTGCAGCATGGGTGGAGTGGCGAGATCAGCGTCTTCAAGGTATGTCTTGGGTGTCAAAGGATGGACAAGCAATGAGCTTTCAGAGGTCCAATGCAGACCCAAGTCTGTTCCTTATTATGGCACAAGAGAAGCCCGAAGGTGCAAGCAAGTTGGTAGGGACAATGGGTCTTTACGTGGATGATTTTTTGATGGCTGGGACTATGACAGTGCTCCGGGAGGCCTTGGAACAGATCAGGAAGGAGTGGAAAACTTCTGAACCCGAGTTCTGTGGTCCAGGCTGCGGTGATGGATTCCTGAAGTTTTTGGGTGTCCAAATCTGGTATCGAAACGGCAGCTTCTTTCTCAACCAGGAGGACTTCGTGAGAGATCTGCTGAACCGAAGAGGGTATCAGATTGATGAAACTGGAAAAGGTAGTAACCTGCCAATGGTGAAAGAAACGCCAGGTGAAGAAGAGGAGGTGGATATTCCTTCCTTGCGAGCGGCTCAAGGGGCCGTAGGAGAGTTCCTCTGGGTGGCAATCAAAACTCGACCTGATTTGGCTTTCTGCACAAGCCAGTTGTCTTTGTGGACATCCCGAAGGCCGCGATTTGTGGTTAAAAAGGCTGAGGAGGTATTTCGATACCTTGCTGCAACTCCAACGTTAGGCCTAACGTTCGGAGCAATCGCAACATGCGAAAAAGAAAGAAATGAGGTGTTGCGTTATGGGCGAGGCGTCAAGGTGGTAGAGTCCTACGCAGATGCTAGCTTTGGAGCAGGTGAAAACGAAAAGAGCCACGCAGGAGCGGTGGTGGTTTGGGGTGATTGTCCAGTGATGTGGGCAACGCAGAGACAATCAACGGTGGCTTTGAGTACTGCTGAAGCTGAGTTGCATGCGTCTATAGAGGGAGCAACGATGATTCAGTCGTGTACCCCTATAATTGCCGCTCTGGTTGGAACGGGTGAAGAATCGCTGCAAAAGGTGCTGTATACAGATTCGGTTTCGGCCTGCTCAATCATTCAATATCCTGCTGGAAGCTGGAGGACAAGACACCTGAGAATTCGAGCAGCCGGTGTCAGGTCTCTGGTAGACCGTGGTTACATGGTGATAGCGCACCTTCGTGGTGAGTATATGATTGCTGACCTGTTGACAAAATTGATGAGTGGACAGGTTTATGCAAAGCAAAAGGCGCTTTGGGGTCTCCAAATGTTGGTGCAAGGAACTGACTTGAAAAGGGCCTCTCTTGCAATGGCGGTCATGATGGTGGCTGCATCTCTGCAAGGGATGGCAACTGGTGGGGAAGAAGCGTCGATTGCTGGATTCTTTTGCTCCGAAGAAGGGGTGTGCAGGGTCGCCAACACATCTGCGGTGATGGTTCTGGCTCAAGGTATTGAAATGGTTACCAGCAATGCAGACCTTGTTGCATATTTGGTGGCAGCGATTATACTCTGGGAATTGGCCTGGTGCCTCTTTCGGCGGCTGTATAGATGGCTGTGGGTCAAGAAAGTGGTGGTTATTCCCGCGAGTGCCACTTTGTATACAACGGTGGGTGGAAACTGTACGCACGCAAGCAGTGACTGTGATGTTCTGCGATATTCACAGCCCAGGGCTAAGACGCTTTGCAAGCATTGCCTCAAGGATGGCTGGGTGGTGAATGCTGAGTTCCTTGGTGAGGAACGGGCCGCTGGAACGTAGACTTTTTCAAATGTGAGGTGAAGAAATCCTCAATGGTAAGGGATTCGGCCAATGAGCTGAAGGTTCGTCCTGGAAAGACGTTAAACCATAACATGCATTCCAAGCAGCTGGCTGCTGACAGCTTTTGGCCCAAAAGTCTGCACCTCCAGTTGTGTCCTAGGAAATCCTAGGACAGGGGGAGTGCGGAGCTGCAATTTGTATTGAAGAAAAGAGTTGGTGATGAAGAATAAAGGGTCAATGTACCCGCTACCATTTTGGCTCAAGATCGGGCCATGCGCCTAGAGAAGAAAGGGTGCTTGGTGTTTTGGGTTGGTTTGTTGTTGGTTGGTCCAGGGGATCAAGGGCTTCTGTTGGGGTTGACTGTTTTGTTCCCTGTCCTCCTTCGGTTGCCCCCCGTATAGGGTTTAGGGTTTAGGGTTTAGGGTTTAGGGTTTAGGGTTTAGGGTTTAGGGTTTAGGAATAGGGAGTACTTGGACCTTGAAGTACTTCCTATTTAGGTACTTTGGGACCCAAGTATATAATGCTGAGGTACATGGACCCTTAGGGTCTCTTGGCCCATGAAGACTGAACAGGGCGATCATAGCTTTGGACCGGAATGGTCTGATGGTTCCAATTCTGGAGGCCCCCTAGACTCCGCCTAAACCCTAAATCCTCTAAACCCTAAACCCTCTAAACCCTAAACCCTAAACCCTAAACCCTATAAATCCTAAACCCCACACCCCCAAAATCCGGAACTCTCAACAGGACTTTGCCGAAGTCTTGGACCGCACGCGACGTGAGCAGATGCCCGGCGAAAGGTTTTAAGGTTTTTTGAGCCTTCTGGCGGGGGTGTTAGCATTCTTGGGTCTAGGGCTTTGGAGTTTTTTTTTTGGGTAGGGTTTTAGCATTCTTGGGTCTAGGGCTTTAGAGTTGTTTTTTTTGTTTTGTGGTGGGGGCTTTAGGGTGTTAGGGTTTTAGGGTTTTGGGGTTTTAGGCTCCATGGCAAGGCTGTTAGCGGTGTAATTAGGGCTTCTGGGGCAGACTTCTGGCTCCTTCTGCCTGGGCTTGGGTTTAGGGCTTAGGGCTTAGGGTTTAAGGTTTAGGGTTTAGGGTTTAGGGTTTAGGGTGTGGGGCTGTTTAAACCCCACGCCGTTGGCAGGTAAGACCTGGGTCTGTGAGGATCGACTCTGTCGGCACATGCGCCCTCAACCCTCAACCCTAAACCCCAAACCTTCTACCCTATAAGCCCTAAACCAACCCCAAACCCGAAATAATACGCAGAGGCACCCCAAAACCGCGCAAGTGCCAGGAAGTCATTTGATGCGCAGCCGCCCTACCAGCAGCCTGGATTGGTTTAGGGCGTAGCGTCCAAGGATCTGGGGGGTTCAGAAGGATTAGGGTTTAGGGTTTAGGGTTTAGGGTTTAGGGTTTACGGTTTAGGGTTTAGGGTTTAGGGTTTGGGCTTCAGATCTAAGGTTGGAAACCATGGTTCCTTAGCAAGTAATTGGTCCCTTACCCTTGTTTTAAGGGGATCCGAAGTATGGGCCCTTGCTGTGTATAGTGCATATATTTAGTTTCAAGGGTTAGGGTTTAGGGTTTAGGGTTTAGGGTTTAGGGTTTAGGGGCAAGGGACCCCAATTCAGGGCCTAAACTTTCGGATCCCCGATTAGAGCTTTCCTTTTCGTTGGTTATTGAGAACCCGGAAACCCTTCCTGAACCCGAAACCCTCCGTATGCCCGGTATCTAGGATCATGGCCTACTGTTCCGGTTGGGTTGTGAGCTCCGGGTTAACCCTAAACCCTACATCCTAAACCTTAAACCATAAACCCTGAGCCCCGACATGTGGAGGGAGGGAGGGTTGTGCTTTTGGAGGCCCTTTCGGTAGCTTCAGCCTCAACTTGGGAGGATTTTACAGACCCCGACATTGGATTTGGTCTACAGCACGATGCAAAAACGGGACCTGTTTCCAGGCTTCATGAAGTCACCCTAAACCCTAAACCCTAAACCCTAAACCCTAAACCCTAAACCCTAAACCCTAACCCCTAAACCCTAAACCCTCAACCCTAAACCCTAAACCCTAAACCCTGGCACTCCAGCAGTCCCTGCACGTAATTGGAAGGTACGCATCCTACACCGCTCGCATCGCGCGCCTCGGGCTGCATACCTCAGGAGTTCCGCGGGTTTAGGGTTTCGGGTTTAGGGTTTGGGGCAGCCTAGGGTTTAGGGTTTAGGGTTTAGGGTTTAGGGTTTAGGGTTTAGGGTTTAGGGCTTAGGGCTTAGGGCTTAGGGCTTAGGGTTTAGCACCTGCATGTCGTTTTCCCTGAAGCCCAAGCTTATGTTCGGTCTGGATGTTGACTTCTCAACGTCTCGAACGTACCTTAAGGTTTTTTTCCAAGGCTAGAACCCAGTGTAGGCCCTTATTGGGTACGTCTGGCTTCCATGGTGACCCCACGCAGTTCCGACGGTTCAGTTGTCCTGCAGCATATAGACCAGACATGATTAGCTTTGCATCCCTGCAGAGTGGTGCTGGACTGCTGGGCAGGTGGCAAAATAAACGCCCTATACGTCCTAGCCCTAAACCGTTTTGGCTCAAGGGTTCTGAATCTGCCATCTGTATAGGTTTGGGGACGAAGCTGCTGGCAGATGAGCTTCATGGATACATCTTCGCCGCAGGATCCAGCGCTTGCAAAGGATGACGCCGACGGCGCGGCATCAGCCGACACATCACCGGCTTCCGGTTCTGCCGATTCCATCACCGTCCACTTGCTCCATGCATCTGGTCGTTCCATCCCTCTTCCAGTGCAAATCTCGAATACGATTCGTGATGTGAAGCACCAGATCCGGAAGACCTATGAGCATGAAGACGCCCCGCCTGGCTACTCTGATGGCTCTGTCCTGAGGCTCATTCTCAGCTCGGTGGAACTTGAAGACGCACGAACCATGGCTGATCATGGCATCAAAGACGGGGAGACACTGACCATCGTCGTGCAGCCACCGATGCCGCCCCAAAAAACAAAGTCAAGGTTGGGGGGATCTCTCGGATTGACTCGGCGGCTCAACCAGCATCGTGAACAGTGAGCGATGGCTTAAACCCTCAGCTTACTCCAGCCCCGAGTAGGGCAGTTTCCAGTTGAGCTTAGGTTGGTTCTGAGTCGGAGCTCTCTGCTTTCCATTGCCGGGCTTTCAAGCCCCAACTAGCCCTAGACCAAGAACCCCCTCTGAGAGCTTGGGCTTTTGGCTGGCCCAAAGTCGAGAAACATTGAGCCTCAATGGGCAAGGGGCTGCTCTGTACAGTTGAGCAGCGTGCCGGTGAGCACTTGCCCCTGGGCTCCGATGAAAAGAAAGAGCGAGAAACAATGTGTCCAGCGTGTTCAGTCGTCCCGAACTGCTACCCTCCAGTGTGGCGGCAAAATAAACCCTAAACCCTAAACCCTAAAACCCTAAACCCGTAGTCTTCTCGCGGGTTGCAAGAGCCCTAGAGCCCTCAAAGGAGCCCCCCCCCTTGACTGTAAACCTAAATCCTAGGACTTGGAACCCAACTAAGGGCCCTTAGAACCCTGCCTTTTCATAACCAGGGGGTTTAGGGTTTAGGGGTTAGGAATAAGGGCGAGGACCCAGACTAGCCGTTATTCCTTTTTTGGGGTGGGCTTGGGGCTGGTCCCTTATGAGCCCCTTTCTCCTTTAACTTGGCTTAATGGCTGGACGCTGTCGCCGGTTGTGGCGGCCCGTGGCCAAACCTCAGTCCTGCAATCTGCCATGTTTGAGGTTGAAGTTTATAAGGTTTAGGGTTTAGGGTTTAGGGTTTAGGGTTTAGGGCTTGCACTGGTTAAACCTCGATGTTTCCTATAGCGCCCTTGGGCTCCCTCTCCGGCCTAAGAGTGTTTTATCTGGGCTTAGGATTTTGAGGTGCGAGATTCAGCGTTGCAACTGGATACTATTTTTTAGACATGTCTAAAACATTTTTTTGACATGTCTAACACCTAGTATCCAGTTGCTTCAGGACTCATTATCCGGACTACTCCATCGAGTTTCTCCGGAAGCAAACTGACAAGGTTTCGTCCGGTGGGGGTGGGGGGTGGGGGTGGGGGTGGGGGTGCCCTCAACCCTTAAACCCTAAACCCTCCTTGGCCATTTTGGCTAAGGTACTATACATCCGTACCAAAACCCACCACGAACAGAAACCCTAACCCCCCCCAAACCCTACAACTATGAATAGCTCCTAAACCCTAAACAAACCCTAAACCCCAAACAAACCCGAGATCATAAACAAACCATGAACCTTGAATAAACACTACACTTGCCGCAGGAGTCTATGGGAGGCTGGGATATGGTTCTATGACTTTTCCATAAGGGCCTATCGGGATGCCCGATAGGCACCTGTAGTTTCGCTAGACCCCTATTTCTGGCGGGTAGGGGGTCTATCTGAGACGGGATAGGGGCCTGTCCGGAATGGGGGGCCTATCATAGGTCGGCATAGACCCTATCGATAGGGGTCTATGGGATGTGTCCTATGGCTGGTCAGGATAGTAGGTGTGCGAATAGCGGCCTATCCACAAGAGCATATATAGGGGTCTATCGACGCCTCTGATATACCCTATAATCCCGAACCGTCCGGGGGAGAGAGCGTGAGGCTTCAGCGGGCGCAGCGCGCGCCTTTGGCGCCAGACTCCGTGGGCGGACGCCCTTCTACGGCCAGGCACAAGATTGGCGGAGCTTTTGGTGTTTAGGGTTTTGGGGTTCTAGGGGGTTTTTAGGTTGCAGGGTTTTCTGCGTTCAGGGTTTAAGGTTTAAGGGGCTCGGAGTTTGGGGTTTCTGGGGATTTCTGTGGTTTCTAGGTCCCAAGCTTCCCGGGCTTTTGGGTTTCTAGGCTTTTTTGGTGTGTCTCGGGTTGCCAGGGCACAGGGCTTAGGAATCTAGGCTTTCTAGGAAACCCTAAAACCCCAGAAGCCCTCTGTCTAGGATTAAGGAATAGGCTCTTGCTTTAATTCTTTGTGGTGCATAGAGTTTATGCTCGTTGGGATTTAGGGTTTACATAGACATTCGATGGTTCAGGGCGTAATGGGGTTAAGGGAACCGATTGCTTCTTGGGCTCTTCATAGTCGGAAGGTGCGACCGCAAAGGTTTGCAGTTTTTCCTAGGGTCTAAGGAAATTTTGGGTTTAGGGTTTAAAGGTTTCTGTTGACGTTCAATGACAAGCAAAGTTCCTAGACATTCTCGAACAGCAGCAAGAATCGAACGATTGCTGTTGTTTGGCTCGATTTAGGGTTTAGGGTTTAGGATGTAGGTAGCATCTTGCATAGCAATCACATTATATTACTAGCCATCAGAAGGCGACCAACCTACTTCACGAAGTCTAGCTTTCCGAGCATTGCCTTGCAGAACCACTGTACAGCTTGTGACTGGCTATTTAGCTATGCCACATGTGATGCTCGAAAACGCGGTTGCGCCTGCAGAACAATGCGTTAAGCCACAAAGCATCGAGCGTTTGATGTACCCCAGTTGAGGTCTATGGTGCAGGTTGACCCTATGGATTTTGGTAAAGACATCAACCTATCCACATGCTTACGGTATGTCTACGTAGACAGGCCGTCTTCCTTAACTCCAAACCTGACACCCTAAAAGCCCCAAAAGCTCTAAACTCTAAACACAAAAACGCGAAACCCTAAAAACCCTAAAAGCCCTAAAAAGCCTAAAAACCCTAAAAATCCTAAAAGCCCTAAAACCCCCAAAACCCTACAAACACTAAACACCCAAAAAGCCCGTAAAACCTTAAAAATCCTAGAAAACCGTCAAAACCCTAAAACCCTAAAAACCCTAAAAACCCTAAAAGCCCAAAGCCCTATACAGACCCTAAACCCTAAACCCTCTAAGCCCATAACCCAAGAGAATTGAGAGGGGGTTTCCTAAACCTAGGATGCCCAGTAGTACCCTTATTCCCTGTTTGGGGGGCTTAGGCTCCCTTGTAAACCCCCTTTAAGCAAAAAAAAGGGCACCCTTTTTTAAGCCTAACTTACTGGGCAGCCCCCTAAACCCTAAACCCTAAACCCTAAACCCTAAACCCTAAACCCTAAACCCTAAACCCTAAACCCTAAACCCTAAACCCTAAACCCTAAACCCTAAACCCTAAACCCTAAACCCTAAACCCTAAACCCTAAACCCTCAACCCAGCCTAGAAACCCGTGGCAGGCCCTGCTGCAGGGAAACCTGGCGCCCGCCGACGCGGCGGAGATCCAGCGGGTGCTCAACACCATGCCCTTTGAGTAGCTTTGCTCTGTTGAGGCTTCGTTTGGGGTTTAGGGTTTAGGGTTTAGGGTTTAGGGTTTAGGGTTTAGGCTTTAGGGTGTCCATTGGTTTTTTGTTTTTAAACGGTGCGGCTCAGGCCTCCTTTTTGTTTAAAGGTGTGGCTCGTACCCCCCCCCCGCCCCCCCGCCCCACCCCCCTCGGTCCCCTTGCCCCGTGGTCCTCTGCATGGTCCCCTTGGTCCTGTGGGCCCGTGGCGTTTTTTTTTTGTTTTAAGGTGTGGCTTGGCCTTCGTTGCGGCCCGGGTCCCCTGGTCCTCTGGTCCTCTGGTCCTCTGGTCCTCTGATCGCGTGGTGCTCTGGTCCTCTGGTCCTCTGGTCCTCTGGTCCTCTGGTCCTCTGGTCCTCTGGTCCTCTGGTCTTGCGGTCCTCTGCCCGTGGTCCTCTGGTTCCTGGTCCCGTGGTCCCGTCCTGCCGTGCAAGGCTTGTTATTTCAAAGCGCATTAATTTATCCAAACCGCTGCAATTCCCCCACCCCCTCTTTATTAGGCCGTGCTGCTTGCGTGCAAGCATATGATTCCCTTCCAAAGCTATCGGGCGGGTATTGTGTTTGCACATGGTCTATTTTCAGCCGTGCAAGCTTGCCTCAACTCAACCACCAAACACGTTGCATTTAGAGTTCGTGCCGATATCTCTGCTGACACATGTTTTGACACACCATATGAATCCCTTGCAAACCCATCATGCGAGCATTCTGTTTGCGAATGGTTGCGAAATTAGAACCCTGTCCAAACCCATCATTCGAGCATTGTGTTTGCAAATGGACGCCCCCACCCCCCGCCCCCCCCCGCTTTTTTAGGCCGTGCAAGCTTGCGTTCAAGCATATGATTCCCTTCCGATCGTTCGAGCATTTTGTTGCAAATGGGCCCCGCCTTTTTAGGCCGAGCAAGCATGCGTCAAAGCATATGATTCCATTCCGTTTGTTTTGTCTCATGCTGGCATTTATAGCATTTGCAGCTTCTGAAATTCACAAGCGCCGGAAAGCCTGAAATGCTGCTACGCACAGTATGTTTGCAGTACTTGCAGCCTCTGCAAAGTCAGAAATGCTGCTATTTACAGTATTTGCAGCCTCTGAAACGGAAATGCTGCTATTTACAGTATTTGAAGGCAGAAATGCTGCTATTTACAGTATTTGAGCCTCCGACAACGCAGAAATGCTGCTATTTACGGTATGTGCAGCTTCTGGAAACGCACAAATGCAGCGATTTACAGTGTTTGCAGTCTCAGAAAACGCAGAAATGCTGCTATTTACTGTATTTGCAGCCTCTGAAAGCACAAAAATGCTGCGATTCACAGTATTTGCCAAGCCAAGTCGAGCCACGCCTAAAAAAATCCGAGCCACACCTTTTGAAAACAAAAACCCCTCCGCCGGTTTGGGGTTCAGGGTTTAGGGTTTAGGGTTGAGGGTTGTTTAGGCATCCCCAAGCCCTTCTATCCTCAAAGCCTCAACACCCCTTAGACCCTGAACAACTTAAACCTGAGGCATTTTACTAAACTCTTAAGACCCTCAAAACCCTTAAGCCGCAAACTCTGCAGACAGCCTGAGCTCCGAGGTTGAGCTTGGCAAGTGCGTGATACCTAAACCCTAAACCCTAAACCCTAAACCCTAAACCCTAAACCCTAAACCCTAAACCCTAAACCTCCTGAGGCCGCTCCCCCGTGCGCAGCGGACGCGGGTGGCGGTGGTGAAGCCCCCCATAAACGGAGCACCTTGGCCTGGGAATCTTACCCCAAACCTGCACACTGTAGACGCCCAGCCCTATCCCAGTATGGGGGGGTTTCCTCGCCTAAGTGACCCGTTCTGCCAAGCAATTCTACCCTACGTGGAGGTTCAGGGTACTTGTAATTCTCGCCCAATAAGAACTGCATTTTTCAGCCCCCTGAAAAAAGGTGATACCTCGACCTATGCTTGGGGTTAATTCTAAGCACCCATGAACCTTCATGTGCACCCTCAAGACTCCTTGCGGAACCCTAAGCACTAAGCACTCCTAAACCTTAAACCCTAAACCCTAAACCCTAAACCCTAAACCCTAAACCCTAAACCCTAAACCCTAAACCCTAAACCCTGAACCCTGAACCCTGAACCCTGAACCCGCGAATGGGGCTTCAGGCCCTCGTGATGCGCTCGAACCCCAATGCGGCGGAGACGAATCGGGCGCTCTGGATCACCTTCTCTACAGGTGCCCAAAGCCCCAACCCAAAGGGTCCTAAGTACCTATATGGGGGACACTTACCCAAGCCATAATAGTAATTTCTACTATAGAAACCCTACTTTCTACTATATAGGTACTTAGGACCCTTTGGGCAAGTAGTTCGGGATGTTGAGGAGTCGGCACACAAGGCAAGCCCTAAACCCCAAACCCGACACTTTTGGTGTCGGAGGTACCGTACTTTGAGGGGGATTTAGTTTGTTTGTCCTTGGAGGGATACAGCGATAGACACTCTACATGAGCCAACCTGTGCACGGTTCCCTAAACCCTAAACCCTAATTGCCCTAGTTCCGTGGTTTCGGAGTTGGCGGAGCAACAGGAATTCGGGGGCGTTTGTTGGGCTAAGGGCGTTAGGAATTCCAAGCATTGCGGGCTCCAGGGTTTTGGGTTGAGGGTGTTGGGTGTACGGATATGCAGAACATGGCTAGGGCTTCTACGAATCCTTGGCGCACTATAGGGGTTAGGGTTTAGATTCAACGGGTCTGAAGGGACGGGTCTGAAGGTAGGTTTGCAGGGCTCCATACCATAAGGGATCGCTACCCGCGTATTTCCTCCCCCTCTGCTTTGAGTCTCCCCAGCCATAGTGCAGACAGGTAGAGACCGGGGGAGGGTTGAGAGGTTTAGGGCAGTTTGGGGAGTTGGGCCTCATCATGGCTCCAAGATCAGAAGACATGCACAATGCTGCAGACGAGATAGGGAAGAGACACCTTGTTTTTATAAGAAGTTCATCATGAGGCACTGAACCTTAAGCCGAAACACCCTCAAGCACCAAAGAAGCCCTATAAACCGCGTCCCGCGAAACGCCAAGCAAACAAGTTAAAGAAAAGCCCCGAACCCTAAGTCCCAAGCCGGAAGCTTCCAGCAAACCACCTCCCGCCACCTGGGTTTAGGGTTTAGGGTTTAGGGTTTATAAGTTTAGGGTTTAGGGTTTAGGGTTTAGGGTTTAGGGTTAGCAACCCTAAACCCTAAATCGCGATGTCAGGTCCCGAAGCCAAAGTGGTGCTTCTGACGGAGCTGCTGCATTCGATCCTGGCCGACCCGTTCGGAGCCCCGGACACGGTGTCGAGATTTTTTTTTTCAGCGGTTGAGGGTGTATGTTTCAAGCCTTGGGGAACCCTTTCAAGCTTTAGGGAAGCCTAAACCAGCCCTAAAAGCCTACACCCTAGCCCTGACTCCTAACCCCTATACCCTAAACCTTAAAGCCCTAAGCCCTCAAAAAACACCCGACACCCCAAATTCCTAAAGCTGGAGCATGCCCTCGATGTGGCTACCTTCGCTGCCATCTTGACGGGGGTGGCGAGCAACTGCTATTTCTGCGTGTAGGGTTTAAGGTTTAGGGTTTAGGGTTTAGGGTCCAGGGTTGAGGGTTTAGGGTTTAGGCAGCCTGAGTCACGACCTGAGAACCGGGTTTGTCAAGGTCGTGGCCAACGTCCCCCCAACATCTCCCAGAACAGGGTTTAGGGTTGAGGGCTTAGGGTGTAGGGTTTCCCCCCGGAATAGGAGGACGCTGACTGTTTTCTGCACATTGATCCGCAATAGGTCAAGGATCCTACGGGTGATCACACAACATCTCCACGACCCCCCGTATATTCCACTCCTGTACAGTCCCTGTTCTGCGATATTCCCTAGACACCTTCGCTCTGGAAAAAACTTTCCAGACGAAAAATAGACTACCTGGGTCGCTCCATCACAGTAAGGTCTTCCTACTACCCACGCATGTTTCATCATAAAGTCCGGATCCTGGCGGGTATGCCTGCTCTCCCACGACAAGTCCTCTTGGGTCAGCATCGGGGCCTACTACAAAGTTCGACCACAGCATCTGCGACCGTTAAAGTCAAGAAGTAGGGGTCACCTAGAAGATAATTTATTTCGAGCTCGTCTCCGCGGAGGCAATCAGATATTACAACCACCACTTCAACCAACCCGCCCCAGACACGGAAGACCCACGTCTCATTTAATCAAGACTCTCAGCCACCTCAGAAGCACGGTGCCAACGCCTGCACCTGATCCTAAACCCTAAACCCTAAACCCTGAACCCTGAACCCTAAACCCTAAACCCTAAACCCTAAACCCTAAACCCTAAACCCTAAACCCTAAACCCTAAACCCTAAACCCTAAACCCTAAACCCTAAACCCTAAACCCTAAACCCTAAACCCAACCCCAAGGTTCTACAATGAACTCCGGACCAAGCAGCAGCCAGGGGCTCGGGGATGAGACCTTCAGAGAAGGGCTTAGGGCTTGGGGCTTGGGGCTTGGGGCTTGGGGCTTGGGGCTTAGGGCTTAGGGCTTAGGGCTTAGGGTTTAGGGTTTAGGGTTTAGGGTTTAGGGTTCATTCTTTACCTGGCCTGGGGTGATTGACTGGATTTCGTGTCTTTTTTCGAGGGGCCCACCAGTCCCCTCTCCCCCCACCCATCCCACCCGCCATTTCTTGCTGCTTTCCGTTGGTTCTTGCCTCCTCTTGCCATCTACTTGTTCGATGTAATGATGTTCCTTCTTTCCATGGCGAATGAAGTCTTGAGTCAGTATGCCTACGCCCTAAACACCCGAACCGAACAAACGCAAGGATGACTAACGCAAAAAACGAGGGGCAACTAACAAGTATCTGCCTCGTGCATTGCCCAAGTCCTCTATAACCCTGTGAAGGGTTCAAGAACACACGAGCGAGTATGCCCTGCTTAGAACGCAGCGTGCAAGACCTAAACGTTTTTCTTGTTGAGGGGATGTAAACTACTCGCCCCCCTTCAAGCCCCTCCCCCCCCCCCAATCCGGGGTTTCGGGTTTCAGGAGTCTCTGGGCATTTGTCGCTGCCACCATGCGCTTCAAGTGGCAACTCCAAGCTCCAAACCCTCAACCCTACCTTTAGGATTCAGGGTGTAGGGGTTAATTATAGGGTTTAGGGTTTATAGGCTTTAAGGCTTAGGGTTTCGGGTTTTTATGGTTTACAGCATGTAGAGTTCAGGGTTCAGGGTTTACAGGGTTTAAGGTTTAGGGCTTATAGGGTTTAGGCTTCAGGGTAGCCGCGGTTGCCGCCAGCCTGCACAAGGGAATCACCACTGCACTTCCTTGACGAGGGGCCAAGATGCGCTTGCTTGCAGGGCACGCTGCGGGCAGCGATTTCCGATGAACCGCCGCAACCCTGCCCCTAAGCTCTATACCTTGGGTTGTTCCCCCTTATACTAGCAGTCCTGAATAGGGATTACTGTTAGTATGAGGGGAACATCCCAATCTACCCCCTATATCCTCTGTTTAAATTCTAAGGTTGGAACCATGGGCTTTTTGCTTAAAGGGACTTAAAGGGATCCGAAGTATGGGTCTTATTATGCATAGTGTATATACGGGTTATAACAGGGGATTACAATGAAGGGCCGATACTTCGGATCCCCTCAAAAGCCCAGACCCGAAACCCCTAGACCCCAAGCCTGGGCACCTCACGCGTGGGAAATTTCAGGCTGGGCTACGTCGTCCTCGCGCAAGCAGACCGCGTGGCTTGCCAGCTCTTTTGGGTTTCGGGTCTTCGTGCCATGCACGGCTCCCTTCCCCCCCCCCCCCTGTCTCATAGCTCGACTGCTATAGGTAAGAACTTCAATCTGCAAGCACAAATGCTGCTAATAAGTATGTTTTGGGGGCAGGGTTTTTTAGGGCCGAGGGTGTAGGGTGCCGGTTCATAAGTGCTATCTTGCCAGGATCTGTTCACCTACTTGATTAAGGCCCTCTCTACCGTCCTAAACCCTAAACCCTCGACCCTAAACCCTAAACCCTAAACCCTAAACCCTAAACCCTAAACCCTAAACCCTAAACCCTAAACCCTAAACCCTAAACCTAGGGGCCCTCCGGTGTAGGATTTCTACGCCAATTGGCGACTTTTACTTGAGGCGCCGGGAATGGGCGACAGGGACTACCCCAATCTGCACCGGAGCCCTAGAGCTCCAGAACCCAAACGCTGCTCATGATGCTCGCTGGCCCTTGCCTTTTCTGGGAGGCAGGTTCCCCGGTGATCCTCGTGATGCTCGGCTCGCCCAAGGAAGAAGGGTTCCAGCTGATGCTCATGATGCTCGCTGGCCCTGCCCTTCCTGGGAGGAAGGTTCCCAGCTGATGCTCGTGTGATGCTCGGCTCGCCCTGGGAAGAAGGGTGCCAGCTGATGCTCAGGATGCTCGCTGGCCCTTCCTGGCTGATGCTGATGATGCTTACCCGGCCTTGAGGCCGCACCACCCTCTACCTTAATTTGTTGACCCTAAACTCTTTGTTACCCGAACAAACCTTCTAGAACATATACCGAAATCCTCGACCCTAAACCTTCAACCCCTAAACCCCTATACCCTAAACCCTATACCCTAAACCCTAAACCCCTAAACCCTGAACCCTAAACCCTAAACCCTAAACCCTAAACCCTAAACCCTAAACCCTAAACCCTAAACCCTACAAGAAGAAACCTGAAACTTCTGTCCCAAGGATGGTCTGGCAGCGCGCCTGTCGCTGGCAGTGCAAAGCAGCAACCAAGAGCCCGGCAAGCTCTGGGAGGCACGTTCGGAGTTGGTGTTTAGGGATTAGGGTTTAGGTTTTAGGGTTTAGGGTTTTGAGTTCGGGGTGTAGGGTTTACGGGGAAGGGTTTGGGGTTTAGGGTTTAGGGTTTCGGGTTTCGGGTGGTTTAGGGGGAGGGTTTGGGGCTTAGGGTTTGGGGTTTGGTCGTTTCCATGGTTTCGAGGTTTTGCCCTAAACCCTAAACCCCTAAATGAGGTGTCAAGGTTGAGCCCATGTCGAACCCTAAACCCTAAACCCTAAACCCTAGACCCTAGACCCTAAACCCTAAACCCTGAACCCTAAAGGTGTTCATTCTGTGGCAGGCTTGGGGTGAATGAAGCATTGAAGGCTCTCAACCTTGGCATGCTACAAGCCCCTAATCAAGGGACTAAAGGAGGGACCCTTATGAGGCATCTTAGGGGTTCTTTGGGGGGCTACTTAGGTATGTAGGGACTATTTAAAGTGTATATATATATATATATATATATATAGGGGGTGATTACGGGTCGCTTCTAGGGCTACCTCCTTGTTCCGCTGAACCTAACCAATTCGCTCTGTTTTGTAGTGTATACTGTTTTTTGACTATTATTATTCTACCGAGACTAAGGGTTCTGAGCTAGCCTACAGTACTGCCTTAAACCCTCAAACCCTAAACCCTAAACCCTAAACCCTAAAACCCTCAAACCCTTCAACCCTAACACCCTAAGACCCAAAAAGCCTAAAACCCGACAAGCTTCAGTGTCGGAGGCCCTCCAGCCCTTAAAGCCCTTAAAGCCCTCAAACCCTAGAACTCCCTAAAACCCTAAAACCGCAAGAAGTTCCCTAGCCCTAAACCCTAAACCCTAAGCCCTAAACCCTAAACCCTACACCCTAAACCCTAGAACCCTAAAACCCCAAGACGTTGCCCTGTCGGAGGCCATGCAAACCTTCCTGGCGCAGTTCAAGCGCACCCTCGAGGAGCTTCCCGCCAAGGAGACTGGCCATCCTCGAGAGTGTGGCGGAGCGGTCCCCTAAACCCTAAACCCGAAACCCGAAACCCGAAACCCGAAACCCTAAACCCTAAACCCTAACCCTAGACCCTAGACCCTAGACCCTGGACCCCCTAGACCCCCTACCCTAGACCCTAGAATCCCTTAGAAACCCTCCCGCAACCCCTAAACCCCTAAACCCCTACACCCTAAACCCAAACCCCCCCCCCCCCGCCCAGGCCCCTTAAAACCCCCTGAACCCCTAAACCCTGTTTTCCCTAAACCGCCCGAGCCCCCTCCGGGCTTTTTTTGAAGGCGGCTCTGGGTCTTGAGGGTTGACAGGGCGTATGGGACCAGGTAGGCTCCTTTGAGTATTCTAGGGTTTAGGGTTTCGGGTTTAGGGTTTAGGGTTTAGGGTTTAGGATGTGTTCCCTCAATTGTTGGGTTTAAGAGGCAACCCTATAACCCTAAAACCCCAACACCAACCCTAAAACCACCAAATCCTAAAACCCCGAAACCCCTATACACTTCACGCGTTTTGGGAAACTATAATCCCCTATAGAACTGAAAGAGTACTCTTTTCGGGGGCTACACCCAAAAAACCTAAGCCCTAAACCCCAAACCCTACACCCCAAACCCCAAACCCTACACCCCAAACCCCAAACCCCAAACCCCAAACCCTAAACCCTAAACCCTAAACCCTCAGCCGAACAAGGGTCCATAAATCCTCAGCCCAACCCAACAGCAACAGCCCCTCAGCCAAAAGGCTGCCCTTTCAAAAAACACCGACTTAGGGACTGGGTAGGTGACCTTGAAGTTCTTGGGCTGTACACCCTAAACCCTAAACCCTAAACCCTAAACCCTGAACCCAATTCAGCCAATAGGAGCTCTCGGCTTTCAAGATCGAGCTGGTGGAGCAGATCGTGAAGCCGGACGAGCGATTAGGCACGACGAGCGTGTGCATCCTGGAGTTTAGGGTTTAGGGTTTAGGGTTGTTTAGGGTTTAGGGTTTAGGGTTTAGGTTTAGGGTTTAGGGTTTAGGGTTTAGGGTGTTCCAAAGTGCCGCGGTCCCGACCCGCGCCAGGGAGTGGTGGCGGGTCGGGCCGCCTCGGTGCAGCGGATCCCACCCCAACCACCCAAACTACCGCCTTTTTCGGGTTTAGAGCGGTCTACCCCCCGCCCCCCTATCAAGGGGGCTTTCACCTCCTCTCTCCTCGATGGCCGGGATGGGACGTACTGCTGCTGTTGCTTGAGCCTACACGTTTAAGACACTTTGAAGGCCATAGCTAAGCCCCGTGTCGGTTTTTCCAACCCGAGCCATGTTGGTCGCAGGACTCCGGAATAACCCGGATGAGATGGAGGGAATGCGGCGGGGGCAGCCCTGGCAGGCGCAACCCTGGCGTGCAACCCCGGCGAGGGCAACATTGCCGGCACCCTGGCGGAATAATAGAGTACTTTGGCAGGGAGCTTGTGGTTCCTTCATAGAGAAGGACGACGAAGCCTTGCAAGCGCGCAGGGAGGACCAGGTTGTCTTGGGAGGGCCGTCACTGAGAAGGTGCACAAGTAGGCGACATGGTGCCGGGGTTGGTGGCGGGGCAACCCTGAAGGGGGAGGGGGCGGGGGAAACCCTGGCAGGGACAACCCTCACAAGGGCAACCCTGGCGGGGCAGACCTGGTGGGCAACCCTGGCGGGGGCAAACCTGTCACCCTAGCGAGGGCAACCCTGCCAAAAGCGAAGCTGGAAAGTTGGAAAGGAATTTTGGGCGCAACTGGTATAGGGCAACCACCCTGGCGGGGGGCAACCCTGGCGGGGGCAACCCTGGCGGGGCAACCCTGGCGGGGGCAACCCTGACGGCGGCAACCCTGCTGGGGCAAATCTGGCGGGGGCAACTTGGTGGGGTTTCGGGTTTAGCGGTCTACCCCCCACCCCCTATCAAGGGGGCTTTCACCTCCACTCTCCCCGATGGCCGGGATGGGACGTACTGCTGCTGTTGCTTGAGCCTACACTGTCCTGGATCCAAACTACTGTGTTTAAGACACCCTCAAGGCCATAGCTAAGCCCCGTGTCGGTTTTTCCAACCCGAGCCATGTTGGTCGCAGGACTCCGGAATAACCCGGATGAGATGGAGGGAATGCGGCGGGGCTCCTCTAGGTGTGCATTGAGAGTGGCCCCTGGTGGGCAACCCTGGCGGGGCAACTTTGGTGGGGGCAACTCGAAGGAGCAACCCTGGCAGGCAACCATGGCGGGGGCCTGGCGGGGGGCAACCCTGGCTTGCGGGGGCAAACCTGGCGGGGGCACTGGCACAACCCTGACGGGCCCTGCGAATGGCAGGGCCAATCGGGGCAAGCTGGCGGAAGCAAGCTTGGCGTTGGGGGGGGGGGGCAGCCTGCATCAGTGCCCAGGAAGGAGGAATTTGTTCTCCCTATATGAGGGGGTTCCAGGGCTCAGACCTGCGCAGGAGGAATTTGTTCAAGGTTCCAGAGCTCAGAGGAGGAATTCGTTCTACCTGTATGAAGGGGTCCGGAGCTCAAACCTGCCCAGAATTTGCTACCAAAAAGAAGGGGTCCGGAGCACAGACCTGCCTAGGAGGAATTTGTTCTACTTGTATGAAGGGCTTCCAGAGCTCACCTGTTCAGGAGGAGTTTGTTCTACCTATATGAAGGGGTTTGGAGCTCAGACCTGCCCAGGAGGAATTGGCTCTACCTATGTGAAGGGGTTCCAGACCTCCGACCTGCCCAGGAGGAATTTGTTCTATACCTATATGAAGGGGGTCCAGAGCTCAGCGCTTGGCCCGAATGGGGGGGCGGCCCTCGGACAAAAGGATCAGCCCGAAAGTGCTCGATTCCCAGCGCAAGGCCCCAAAGCGCTCGCCCCCCCGTGATTTTAGCGGGAAATCATATGGCAGCACGGACCCCCCCATTGTTGCAGATTTCAGGCTCGGCCGCCCCTGCCGGCAAGCGCTTCGGTCCGTCCTTAGCCAGGGATCTACGAGCGTACATCGCTGAGGATCTTCGAAGAGGCTTTTGTTTTGGAAGAGCACCTGTTGATACATAAGTAAGCTCTACCTCCAGGTTCCCAGCGCAGAAGAGCCAGAAGCCGACGCTTGCAGGAACCCCTGGGTCGAAGAGCGCCCTGCACGCACATCTCGGCGTCTGGTGACGCGCGTGGATGGGCGAGGGAGTGGACTTCGAGACTCTGGCTCGGCAAGGCCGGGGGGCGGCACAGCCGCACTCGTCGAGGCCGCGGCCTTTTCGATTGTGTCGTTTCATAGATCACTTTTCTCAAGCATCTCGCCTGTCAAGGCCAGATGGCGGCGCGGCCGCACTCGTCGAGGCCGGGGCCTGTCTTTTTCTCCAGTTCACCGTATTTCTCGCTTCTGAAGCATCTCGCCTGTCAAGGCCGGAGGGCGGCGCGGCCGCACTCGTCGAGGCCGGGGCCTGTCTTTTTCTCCAGTTCACCGTATTTTCTCGCTTGGAAGGGCCATGAAGGGCCGGGGAGCGGCAAGCATCTTGCCTGACCAGGCCGGGGGGCGGCGTGGTCGCACCCGTCCAGGCCGGGGCTTGTTGCGCAGGGGTATCCCCGGGCAAGGATTTCGGCAATTGCAGCAGGAGCTGGGAGATCAGCGTTTCCTGGGGGGGCCAACCTCCTTGCATCTGCAAGAGTCTGGTGTTCTCGTCAAGTCTTGTTGAAGAAGACCTTGGACTTCCAAGCTTTGTGTTTTTTGAAGCATGCGGGCAGTTCCGTTTGTCATGATTCTGTCATGCTGCTTAAAGCGACACTGCGTAGTCCTGCTGCGCCCCTTTTCTTCTGAAAGAACTTGCAAGGTTCTTTTTCTCTTTGGTGTAGTCGGGGCCAGCCAGAGAGATGTTGCCGCGGAAAGTAGGCCCGGAGCATGAGCTGGTTGTGCTGGACTCCTTCTGGGTGGGGCTGCAGGACGAAGCGGCCAGTGAGTCCTCCTTCCTGCGAGGCACCGGCAGCACGTTCGAGAAGGCTGCGTGGCGCAAGGCCTTGGCACAGCTGGCGCCCTCGACGCTGACGCAGTTCCTGAACGGGCGTCCAGCCAAAATGCCGTGGAAGCTGGCCGGACCGCTAAAGCCCTTCGCAAGGCAGGCGCGTGCAACAATGGAAACGGTGCACCCCTCCTTGTTTGGACTGTAAAGATGTGTAAAAGGTTCAAAATAAGTACACTGCACACATCTGCGCGTGAGACGCCCCGCGAGGCTGCCCGCGCTGGAGCGTGCCAAGCTTGTGCAGGAAGTCGGCTTGTACGTCTACCAGGTACTGCCCGCTCCAGAGCGCCAGGCCAGCGACCCCGGCAGTGATGTTGACTGGGATGCCGAGGAGGACACTGTTGATGCCGGGGGCGAGGATGTGAGCGCCACTGTCGCTCCGGACCTGAAGCGGCGGCGGCTAGGCTCCAAGTCGGCGCCTGTGCGCTTCGTGCCCGCGGACATGCAAGCTGTTCTCCCAACAGAGCTGGACAGTAGTAGGCTCTCCCGTGAGATAGGAGACATAGCTAGTGTGGACTGGAAATGCGGGAAGCGCAAACCGGAGCAGCTGGTGCCACTGATCATCCAGGGAGTCCGCGCGGACACAGTGCGGCCGACGCTGCAAGCCGTAGTGGGCAAAGAGGATGGCCTGACCTACTACGCCAGCCAGCCTCTGCGGCAGAGCGTCTCCGCCATGCGCCTGCTGACGGCCGCCCAGAATGTGCAAGAGGCCTACAGCAGATTACCACTCTTGCTGTCGCCCAGCACTCCGTGTGTGGTGCCACAATGTGGGTTCCGAGTGGAGATCGTGGAGGACGACTACCCCGGGGAGGACCGAACCCAGGACCCGACCACGGACGGCGCGTCTGATGTGGGCACGGCGGCGGCTGTGCGGCTGGGCCTCATCAAGAGCGAGACTGACATCAACTCGTACTCGCCGACACAGTTCCGTGGCCTTCTCCGCGTCGGGCCATTGTGGCATGTGCTCGTGAAAGGATCCCCCACCCCTTAATAAATGTAAATAGGGGGGGGGGGCGCGTAAATGCAAAACAATATTTTTTACATTTTCAGGTTTGTGCTGCAGGGTAGGGTAACTAGGGGAGGAAGGTAAGCAATCCCACGCATATCTCATATCCCAAGCAATCCCACGCATAGGATTTTACATTTATTGTTTCTCCTCGTCTCCCGAGCCCGAAAATGTAATTTACATTTTCCGCCCCCCCCCATGCTAAGGGGAGGGGGATGTGAAAGGCATGCTGATGATCGACTGCCGCAGAAAAGACGGGCTCCACATCCGGAGGAGCTGCAGCAAACTGCACATGCACTACCTGAGCCCTGTCTCGTCAGAGCACCTCGGGCTCGACCTAACACAGAACACGGAGGCAGCCATGCAGGCCGCGCGGATAAACTGTCAAACCACAGCCGCGCTCGCCATGCGGGCTATGGCCTATAAGACAGAGGCTGCCCGTGTGGTCGCGCTGGGCCTGCTGGACACATTGCCGCTCCGCTGGCCAGACATCATATAGCTGGTGGACCGTTGTCTTTCAATTAGTGAAGAACAGTACCATAACATTAGCCTACAGCGTCTGGAAAAGCAAGAACGTAGGACACGTGTACATGAGCAGAGGGGGTTGAGAGCACGAGTTTATAGTCATGTCCAGCTGCCCAGGCTTCAGACACTGCAAGCTGCCACCGTGCTTCACTTCGCGAGCATGGCATGGGGCATCAAGAACAGCCTTCTCGAAGCTCCAGCAGAAGCCGTGAAGCGTTTGTCTCCGCCAGCCCCCACACGGGGCGACAAACGCCAGGCGGAGATGAACGAGGAACGGCAGTTTGTCAATCGGGTCGGGAAACACGAGGTCACAGTCCGAGCCGCAGCCGATGAAGAAGAGGTGGAGAGCGATCTGGCCCAGCTCACCAAGGAAGTCGAGGAGATGCACCCGTGGGACTTGGCG